GCAGGATTTCCATTTTCTAAAGGCTGAATAATATATATATTATATAATAAATATATATATATATATGTCACATTTTCTTTATTCATCTGTCAATGGACATTTAGGTTGTATCCATGTCTTGGCTGTTGTGAATAATGCTGCAATGAACATGGGCGTGCAGATATCCCTTTGAGATCCTGATTCCATTTCCTTTGGATATATATGCAGGAGCGGGATTGCTGGGTCATATAGTAGTTCTATCTTTAATTTTTTGAGGAACTTCCATGCTGTTTTCCATAGTGGCTGCACCAATTTACATTCCCACCAACAGTGTACAAGAATTCCCTTTTCTCCACACACTCACCAACGCTTGTCAGTAACAACTTATTGAGCACTGACCATGTCTTGGGGACCGTGCCAGGCAGTGGGGCTGCAGTGCTGAATACGGCAGGCATGATCTCTGCCCCGGGAGACTGCAGTCCAAGGTCCCTCTGCCCATGTACAGCTCATTCTCCCCCGCAGGCCCTGCAGAGGATGCACCATCTTTCTGGAGTTGATCTCCATCAGTGGCCTCCTTGCTATTCCAAAGAGCCTAGAATCATCTGCAAATGTCCCAGCCCCCTGCTCCAGACCACTAATAAAAAATATTGAATAAGACTAGTCATAACACGAGGACTTGGGGGTCCTCCCATTCCCACTTCTTCACACAGAAATATGTCTTTCTCTGTCTCTAAGTCAGTTCTCCCTCTACGGCCAAACTGCCCGAAGTCCCACAGAGATTCATTATTTTTAAATACCTTTCATGTGGAACCTTGTCAAAGCCTTTTGGAAAAGCTAAATAGCTAAGAGGCAAGTGCTGAGCTTGGAACTGGGAGACCTGGGTTCTAGTCCTGACTGTCGTTGGTTTATCATTGACCTTTGGGCAAGGCGCAGAGCAGCCCCAATCTCAATTTCTTCACCGGTAAAATGAGAACAATTACGCCAGCAGTCAAGATCATAAAAATTTTATAGCCATCAGATGAGATAATGTTATTTAAGAGTGCTTTGCAAGGTATCAAACAAAAATTTAAGAGATTGTTATTCGAAAATTTACGACAGCATCTTCCTCGTTCATATGCATGATTCTCTCCCGAAAGAACTGCCATAGACGTAGACATGGGTCCTCCAGCACTCCCAGGGTGATGTTTGTCTAACATCAACTACTTTCCTTTGTTGAAGGTATGCAGGTTTATATAACCAACAGGACCTGGCTCACCACGTGTTAGTATAGTACATCAATGCATAGACGCATGGACCCTGGAATGAGTCAGACCCTGGTGTGGGTCGAGGCCATGGTGCTCACTAGAAGTGTGACCATGAACAAGTTATTAAACCTCTCTGTGCCTCACCTGTAAATAGGATAATATTGATGCTTACTTCACAGAGTTATGAGAACGTAGAGACATGCAGAATGCCTAGCATCCTACCTGACACATAGTAGCCACTCAATCATTAGCAGCTCTTGTTGCCATGGTTCATGTAAGGGCCCAAGAGCCAGCAGCTGGTCCATCCTACCTAAATTTTATGATTGTCCTTCATTCAGCAAATCCTACCACAAACTCCTTCTGTCCGTATCTTGTGTGAGATTCTTTCAGCAGATGGATGAATGCATGCTTTCCTTTCTGTTTTCTGAAACAAGTAGTGGATTGGGGTGGGGTGGAACAGGGGGAGAAGCAGCCATACCTCTCCAACGACGGACTTCCCACCAGGCAGACGGACTTCCCACCAGGCAGAGCGCAGAAGTGGGGAAGGCCAGGCCTGTGAAAACTTGCCCTGTTGGTGCTCCCCGCTCCATCTCCCTGCCCCTGCCCCGGTTCACCTGGTTTCCTCTGATGTCCACCTACATCCAGCATGTCTCCTCATCCTAAAGAGCAGGGACATTGGAGCCAAATGATGAAGAAGAGTGCTCAGGCACTGAATCCAATTTCCTTTGGGGATCAGACATGGGCACCCAATGGGACTCAGTTCTGCCAGCATTCCCTAGGGGACCTGAGGGTGCTGGAGACCAGCCAGGGCGCTCAGTATTCCTCTTGTCACTTGTGCTGCCGCTTCAGAGGTGACTCACAGCTTCGGATGAAGCCTGGCTGGGCTGGGGGCCAAGGCCATCACCGCAAAGTCAGACTTGGGTGGTAATCCCAATTGGTTTTGCATGAACTCCAGTTTCATTCTGATTAAGGAAGGACCTGGCCAGGGTGGACATCTGGTGGCTTGGGGGTGGGCACAGAAGCAGGAGGGCTATTGGAATCTGAGGCATTTTGATTTTCAGAGCTAAACATATTCTCTTTAATTCCTTTACCTGTTTTTCTTTCATTTTTTTTTTTTGAGCTTAATTGGAAATCAGCAAAGAGAAGTTTTAGCTTTATTCATTGCTTTCTTCACTTTTACAATAAATAATACTCAAGCTCAAGTATTTCAGCATCAAAATCAGGACTGATTGACGAAAGCCTCTGGAACTGTACAGACCAGAGACAGACACTGACCTCAGCCACCTGCTTTTATTTAGGTGGCGCCCCCCAGGGAGCAAACAAAAAACCTGTCAAGGAACAAGCTCTCATATAAGGGTGATAGGGAAAACACAGACTTCAGAGTCAAACTGGATTCTACTTCTGTTCCCCGATTTTATTTTATTTTTATTTATTTATTTATTTATTTTTTGAGGAAGATTAGCCCTGAGCTAACTACTGCCAGTCCTCCTCTTCTTTGCTGAGGAAGACTGGCCCTGAGCTAACATCCGTGCCCATCTTCCTCTACTTTATATGTGGGACGCCTACCACAGCATGGCAGGCCAAGCAGTGCCATGTCTGTACCCGGGATCTGAACCAGTGAACCCCGGGCCGCTGAGAAGCGGGACGTGCGAACTTAACCACTGCACCACCAGGCCAGCCCCCTGTCCCCCGATTTTATAGCTCAGGCTAGTTGTTTATTGCAGCTGGGTCTCATTTTCCTCGTCTGTTCTATCGCAATATCAGGGAGGACTTTTGATGTTGCAAAAAGCTTTTTTTTACTTTAACAGTGGGGAAATATCTCGAGTAACTAAAAAGTCCCAACATAGGGCAGGTTTCGGGGTTGTTTTGATTCAGTGGCTTAGGGACATCACCAAAGACCAATGTTTTTCCATCTCTGTGCCTGACCTTTCCTGGTTCCAGCTCCCTCCTTCTTGTAAGAGGGCTGCCAACAGTTCTTTGACCCTACTGAGGGAGAGGAGAGATCCTCTCTTCCTCCATCAGGAAACACTGCTTTGCTCTGACTGCTCACATTAATTGCCTCGGGGCTGCTTTCTTTCTATCACTGTGGCAACCGAGTGAGATTAAACTGATTTGCTTATGCCCATCAAGAACTACCCCAGGAAGCTGAGGGTGGGTCCAACCCCACCCAAAAGGCGGGAGAGGGTGGCGTGGATGCTGGAGAGGCCATGTAAGTCAGGACAAATGAACACTAAACCCATAGGATTGAGAGCATTATATCAACAAGAAAGTATGTGCAAAACCATCTGCCAGTGCCTGACGTCTAGGAAGGACTTAAAAATAATGCTTAAAAGGGAAATAAACAAACAGAGCCTGAAACAAACCTAAAATCAACCACCTAAATCACAAAATAATCTAGTGTCAGAGTTGAGTGAATTCAACAGAAACGAGAGGCAGTGGACTTTCAGATGAATTGATGTCGTCAGTTGACATTGACGTGGCATCCCCTCTGTAATTTAGTTCCTCTGAATGACTCTTCTGTTCTCGTTGATCTCATGAGAGGTTAGAAGTTAAATATTAAAAACTTAAAGTAAGAATATATGAGGTGAATATCTGGAGTATAATTTTTTCTTTAGTTGTTATTGAAATCGCTAAAACTACACTGTGGTACCTTACAGAGTCTTATACAAATGGCTTCTCATCAAGTTTGTGATTCTCTACCTTGGGCCTCTTCCTGTCTCCCGCCAGTGTTCCCTTCACTCTTCCCACATTCTGAGTAATGTTTGGTCCCAACTTATGTGGGTGGCATTATTAGCACTGGGCAGTGATTGTGTCGAATCTGTGAGCTCAGACCTGTGATGGTTGATTCTAGGGACCTGGGCCACACCCAGGGTTAGATGAGCATCATGTGGGGTTGAAAGCCCCTCTATTTTCTAGATTTGTCCTCAGCCATGGTGGATGTGGGCAAAAGTCTTTCCCAGTTGTCTCCACATTGTCCAAGCAGCTCTGGGAAGGACTTGTGGATGGCCTGGAGATCGTCTACACTGCTAAGTGTTCTCAGAAGACTGAGGATGACTCATGCCCGCAACATGTTTTCTTGGAATGCTCACATCCCCTTCTCTGGGGACATGCATAGAACTTCCAGGAGGTTTTGGGACCCTATATCTGAGCCAAAATCTGAAGTGTGAGCCAGTGGTTTAATGGCCAGAACGAGCCCACTTGGTGTGAAACTTCTGGCCTTGGTTCCTTGTTCCTCTCCAAGGTGAGGCAATGGTAGCTGTGTAGCAGTTTCAAAAAACCAGCCCACGTCCTTACACCCAAATTTTTTCTGCCAACAAATGTAGCAAATAATATAGCAAATAATAACAATATAGTAAATAATAAATGCAGCCTTTCTGCTACAGGATGACACTCTGATCTGAGGCAACTTCAATTATCCGCCATTCACCCAGTCCCTAGACCACTCTCCCCAATACCAACTCCATCCTCTTCTCCAAAGACCTAGAAGCAAGGCCTCAAAAACTTAAGCCTGAGGCCTAGGGAACCAGACAGCATAACACCGGATTCTTTGTGAAGCCCAGTTTGGTCTCTCCCGCTTCCTTTCTCTTTGCTGTTCTGAGTGTGAGGCCCATGGTTGACTTGTGTCACTCCTGCTCCTACGGGCCTGGCCTCTGGGCACCGTGGAGGCGAGCTCTCTGTGTCTCCCTTGGCTGTTGGGAGGATCTCTGGGCTGAAGCTTGACTATAGGCAGTGTGGGATCTGAACTCACATCGGCTCTCCTTTTCCTCTTCTCCACAGATCCGGGTGGATGGGCCCAGGGGCAACGCCCTCCAGTATGAGACGGTACAGGTGGTAGACCCCGGCCCCGTCCTCCGGGACATGGCCTTCTCCAAGGACCACGAGCAACTCTACATCATGTCAGAAAGGCAGGTAAGGCTCTGGGCTCTGTTAGATGTTGCTCTTGCAGCTAAGTACTAGCCTGTGACTCTGTGGAAACCTACAGGAGGCCAGCGGCAGAGAGGGGATTTGATTTATTTGGCTCAGCGTGCATCCTTTCGGTTTTGCTGCCTGGGGACTGAGGCTGAGTGAGCTGAAACAGGGAATGAAACATTTACCCCTGAGTCTAGAACAAATCTACCAACTTCAAAAGGATGGTGTATATACATTCAGGGCCAACATTGATTCTCTTTTGAAGAAACGTGGTACAGATGCCCAAGTCTTTTGTCTAGATTTCTCTCCACAAGGTATAACCTGCCACCAAGGTCTTCTTCTTGAACCTTGGAGGTCTACGGTGAGCAAGAATTGTTTTCCAAATTTCCTCGTTGAGGGAACATCATGGAAGAGTCAGATGGGTGGAGATTCAGAACACAGGGTCTGTGTGTGTGAGATGAGGTGACACGGCATATGTCCTGAGCCTTCGTGTGTACCTGTAACTCTAACATGGAACTTCTAGCAAATTCCATGAGGCCAAGCCAGGGAGAATAGATACGGTGCAGGGATTACTGTTAGCTGATACTGAGTAGGAAGTAGCAAAGTTGGACTTGCTTCTGGAACTGAGCTGAGAACTAGTAAGTTCTTCAGGGGTCCTTGAATTCATACCAGGACTCATATGTCTGCAGCCGGCAAGGGAATAAATTTTGTCTTCGAAATTCCACATATTTAAGGGTATTTCCCAGCATGCCCTAATTCACTACCCAGAGTGTTCCACCCCACAAGACACACCCACCTCAAGAGTGGATTAGCACTGCCATATGCCTGCCTGTCAGCTCTGTGTGGGATGGGTCATTCCCAGGAGCTGTCTCTCTAGCCCATGAATATGTATGCGGCAAAGGCAGCAGCCTTGAGGGGCAGAGTCTCTCTCTTATTCATCTTCATTAGCGAGGCCTGAACTCCCCAGAGGACCTTGCTGACAGAGTCTGGATTGTTCTGCCTGTCCCCTCTCTGCAGAGTGAGGGAGATGAATACCACATTATGCCACCCACAGGGCTTGTACATTATGCGTTGGCAGCCCACAGCAGCTCCACCCTCCCCAAGAGCTCGATGACATCTTCTCTTGGTGTGGGACTCCCTATCAGCGACACTGGGACCCATTGTGGTGCCCTTGTTGAGGCTCCCATGGCTTGGGAATTGCCTGATGTGGGGCCGAGAGGGGAACACTTTACCCTGCGAGTCAGGACCGGGTATGACGCGGCTCCTCTGCTTTCATCCCTTGCTCTTTTTCAATGGGACCCATACTCCCCACTCTCTCCCTACCTTTGAGGCCGAGACACTGAGGGGAAGCAGGTTTCCTTTGTGAAATGAACCCTTTGGCGAAAACCCAAGACCTCCACAAGGCATTGAATATTTGAGGATCTCTTACCTGACCTGAAAGCCAGGATTTCTGAATCTGGAATTTAAAACATGTAAGAACTTCCACAGGTGGACAATATAAGCTGTATGAAGCCTCCTCTGATAACTGCGTCAGGATTCTGAGCTCCTTGTCCTCAGCCATTCTGCTTCCCCGAGAGCATGGTCAGTGGTCTGTACCCATTCAGGCTTGGCAGCGAGGCATGCTGGGAGCTCTGGATTATTGGAAAGGAAAGGAAGGCAGGACTGGATAGGGCCAAGGCCTATTCATCCGTTCTGGGGTTGCTCCTCAAGGAGATGGAGGGAGGTTTGCCACCAAAATCACAATCCATGGCCCCCAACAGCTGGGCCAACACTAGTATTCAATGGGGTGGCAGATTCTTTGTGGGGAGTGGTAGTGTAGCACAATGGTTAATGCGCAGGCCTTGATGTCAGAGTATCTGAGCATGAACCTTGGCTCCACTATTTACTAAGTGTGATCTCAGGTAAGTTCCTTAACCTCTTTAAGACTCAATGTTCTCAACTGTCACATGGAGGTAATAATCATGTCCAATAGCGTTGTTCCAAGGATCAAATGGCATAACCCATGTAATAAGCTTGAACCAAGCCTGGCACAGAGTGAGGCCTTGATAAATGGAGGCTCTTATTGTTATGACATTGCAACAGGAGTGTCTGGACATTGGCCATGTTTGGAGTTGGGCAAGTGGTGGCATCAAGATTCTGGGTGATCTATGGAGCACAAGAGTCTAGGTTGAGGTCAAGATGGGCAAGGAGCAGGGTTCCAGTCCCAGTGGAGACCCCACAGACTGCTCTATTGCCTGGGCACACCACATAGAGCTTGGAGCAAGAGCAGCTTGGTAGATATACTGGGGATTTACAGAACCTGGGCTGCCGGGACTGATTCCAGCCTCCGTCTGCTGGTGGTCGGTCTTAACCGTGATGGGTCAGAAGACTGCAGGGCCGACTCTGCTCAGCAGTTCTGTCTGCTCTCCCTGGCAGGCACTTCCCTTGCTCATCTGGCTGATTTTTCCCTGACCCTCAGAACTCAGCTCTGGTGTCGCATTCTCCAGTTAGTGATTCCTGACATGGTAGACACCTCCGTGGCGGCTCTCCTCAGACTGGGCTGTGATGGCTTCCTTGCCTTTGTCTCCTGCCAGACGCAGCTTGAGGGCAGTCTTGTGTCTTCTTTGTCTGCCTAAACCTCACCTAAGAGACCCTTGATAATTACTTGATGAATGAATGAATGAATGAATGAATGCATCCCCAGTGTCTTCAGTGAACCAGAATTGGAAAAGAAAGGGGCTGATATGAATTATCTATTGCTTATCTTAATTTCCAATTTCAAACTTATATAATCAAAAGAGTGCACTTCAGACAAGGGAAGGATTTCCCAGACTTCAAGTCATCTGTTTGTCACTACCAGGAATTTTGGCCTGTCCTGAAGTATTTTACTTTGTGTTTTTTTAAAATAAATTTCTGTCTAAACTTAAATAGCCTACTTTAACCATCTCTTAAATAATAATATGATAGATCTGACACGCTAGTCATATGTAATATACATAACTGTGATATTGTGATTTATAATAAGAAATATATATTTGGTCTTCGCCCCCATTTCTGGCGCAGAGCTGCCAAAACCCTTGGAATTTCCTGAGCAATAAAAGCAATGGGAACATCTTTTGTTATAATCTTTCATGTCCTGAGTTCCTGAAATCTCTTCAGAGCCATAAAGGTGAAATGAGTGTCTTGTTTTTCAACCACAACTGAGTTTATGATAATGAGGTGACATTTGGAAATCTCCTAAGGATGGGGGAGGGGGTTGCCAAGGGAGCCAATCATGTGATCAGAAGGTTGGAAGTAAGGATTGTGTAACTAATAGAGGTAAAGAATGGAGTGGGGGGTGTGTGTGTGTGTGTACATGTGTACATGTCTGTGCACACAAACACTATATCCTTCCTGGCCCTGTGACCATTGACAAATTAGTAACCTCCTCAGCACCTCAGTCATTCATTCAATATGAACAAACATTTATTGAGAATCTAGTATGAGACAGGCACTTTCTAGATACTTTCTAGATATTAGAGATTCAGTGGAAACAAGATGGATTCCCTGCCCTCATAGAACTTATGTTTTAGGCAGAGACAGACAATAAATGAGTGAATAAGTGAATGAGTGAATGAATGAATGACATATGTCAGGTAGTGGTGAGTACAATGAAAAATAAAAGACTCAGGAGGAATTAAGTTTGGTCCGGGAGCATGGTGGGGAATGTCATCAGAAGGTGATCAGAGGAAGCATTCGGAGGAGGGACCTTTTGAGCGGAGAGCAGGATTAAGTGAAGTGGCAAGAGGCGACTGTCTGGGGAAAAATCATCGTGCAGACAGAAGGAACAACTAGCACCAAGGCCGTGAGATGGGAACATGACTTGGTGTTTCCGGGGTGGCCAGAAGGGCTGCCTCGGAGTGAGAAAGTGGAATGCGGTAGGTGACGCGGTGGGAGAGAGAGGCCGGCTCGGATCACCCAGGTCTCCGTCTGTAATCTGTAAAGTGGAGATGTAGTAAATAGTATTGATCTCCTGGGCGGTGATGAGGATTAAATGAGATAATGCATGTGCAAGGCGCTTGGCTCAGCATCTAGAACCGAGTGAACATCGAACAAATCTTAGCTAATATGACGATTATTTGCAAATTGAACAATTTCCAGCCCGGATATTGTTTCTGGTATTAAGGATCTGTGAATTCCTCTCTATTTCTTGCTCAGCAAGGGTGCTTTCCCTGTATACTTTTTCTTGGAGTGTTTGAGTGAGCCCTGCTAGGTATCAGTGTCATTTTGTCAGGATCTACCTGTCTCTTTCAGTGTCACATTACGTTTCTCTGTCCTTTTCCTCTCTTCTCCACCACGCTGGGTATCTCTGTAGGGTATATGCACGCGTGCGTGTGTGTGTCTGAGTGTGCATATGTGTACACACATGCACACCTTCCCCTGTCTGCGTGTCTCCGTCAGCTTCCTTCCTGCTTTGTACATGTCCATGTGTATGTATATGATGTGTGTTTACTACAACTCCAGCACTCCCAAGAGACTGTCTATGCACACTGAAGTCACTGCGATAAAAGCCTGCCAAACCGATGGGAGGGAAGTAAGAGGAAATGTCAGCGGGGCAGAAAAATAAGGAGATGAGGTGGCAGAGCCGGGCTGTCCTCAGGTGCCCTGGAGCAGCCCCTAACCGGAGGAGAAGGAGCTGTCCCCCACACAAGGCAAGTCTCTTCTTTGATAGGCCCCAGAGCAAGTGGCAGATTTCGCAGTTGATTTCAGCATCTCTGCCATCCCACACACCAGCTCTCCCTGCCTGAAAGCAGGGGCCTCCAACACATTTCTGCTTTTGAGATACACTTTCCGTTGCATCTGGGCCAAAGCCGTCTTTCATAAGTGTTCTTTGTTTTACTGACTCCTGTTGACAGTGGGTCTGCTTCCAGGTGCCTGGGGACACTCACAGCCTGTCCCCCTCACGAGTTGGTAGCACTCAAGTCCTAGCTGTGATCCAGGGCACAGATGCCTGCGGAGGCTGAGGAGGTGGGTCTGGCGGT